AATTAAAATATTTGATAATACAAAAATATTTTTTTTTAGTCTGTTATAAAATTTGAGTTGCAAAAGTAGTTAAATATCTTTAGTAAATAAGATTTTTTTTCTTTTTTTGAACAATTAATCATGGCACAGGTCGAACCCACACTAAAAAAGGGGATGTACCTTTCATTGTGACAGCTGCCACTAGGCCAAAAGACCAAGTACCTTTAGTAAATAAGATTTAGTTGGTGTATTTTTGGTATTTTAAATCTGGACACCATTCTCTTGCTAACGAAAATCGAGTTAACCAACCCCACTTCAATTTATGGATAACAAGAGAAAATAGATAGCCACATACAATAGGCTCGTCGGGGAGATCTAATCTAAGTCAACATGTGGGCCATGGGGACCAGGCAGGCAGGCAAAAAAAGAATTAAAAAGGTCTAATCGTTGTGACTGTTGGCGCTTAACAGCCAATAACATTGCCATTAGCTTACATTGGATCGAAAGGACGACATTGGCATGCTTTTGGATAGTAGAGGGACGATTTGTGAAGTTAATTAATAGTAGAGGGATGACATGAAGCCAATAGATAGTATAAGGTTTAAATTGCAATATTTTTGATAGTAGACTAGAGAGACAATAGATGGCATTAACCCAAAAACAAACAACTGATCGCTACCATGGACAAATAAGAGTACTAAATACCTTGAATTTGCAAATAAGGAAGAAGTAGTAAAACTAAATTGGTCACTACTACTGTGACAAGCAGAGGGTGAACGGTGGCCTCTGATCCATTGAAAGATATGAAAAGCTTTTCAAATATATAGCACCGAACATGCCATGGTAGTTGGAGTATGTTTTACCTCCAACAAAATCAAACACTATTAACACTTTCCTTTATATTCTTCTTCTTCCTTTTTTTTTTTTCATATTTTTTCTACAAATCATTAAATATTTCGCAATTCTTGGCAAAATTAAGACGTGGCTGCCAATGGGTCTGTCTCAAACTCACCTACTTTGTCATTATCCACCTTTAGGAATTAAGCACAGCCCAAAAACTTTCATCTTTCCTTTCATATTTCTGCAAACCCTTAATACAAATACTCCCCCGAAAGCACTTGGGTCTTTGGGTCCAGTGACATTAAGTCATGTTTAAGTACATTCTTTTTCTCCCGGTTCGAATCTAATCCCTTGTAAAATTATTAAAAAAATATATACTCCCCAAAAAATTTGTAAAATTTAATAATATTACTTCTCATTTCCCTCCTCCCCCGATTCTCATCACCTACCAAAGAAAAAAAAATAAATCTATTGCAAAACCCAAGCTTCATATGAAGATATGGACTAAAAGATTGAAAATCTTGTGGGAGATATAGAAAACGAGAAGGAGGGAGAATGATTGTTAAAGAGAGGAAAGTGGGAAAGGTAAAATAGAAAAGGTGGTGTTCGATTAAAATCTAGGATTGGCCTTCAAATTATCACGGAGCAGGACCTAGACTGGTTTGGGAAGAGAGTGGTGGAGAAAGGAACGGAAACCGAGATGGATGCGAGGGGAAAGAGAAATTCTTGAATAATTTTTTGATATTAACCTTTATGTATGTATTTGATAATCATACTAAATCTTAATTAATTTAAAATTGAATTACGTCGAATCCCATAAAAAAAAAACTCTCCCAACACTTGTTTCTCCGTTTATCAGACTCAAACTCAATGACGTTGAATTGTAGGTGAGGAATCTTAAATATGGATGAGATTAATGCAACAATTTACACATGGTGCTTTCCCATTGATGAAAGCATTGATTAATGAGCTGCCAACACGTTAGAATTGCGGGTCTAACGGTTTGACGTTCCTTGGTAAAAATATTCATTCATCCCGTCCCATCCCCTCCCCTCCCCTGTTTCCCTCAAGACAAACATACCCTAATATTGAAGCAAAATTCAATCCTCTTCTCCGGTCTCCGCCATGACCACCACCCACAACTACGACGGGTTTTAGAACGAAGAGTGTTCATTATTATCAACTAAATACAAAATTGGAACGGAACTAAACCACTCTAGAATTGAAAATTAGAAAAGGCAGTAAGATTAGGAATCGGACTGACGTTGACAAGAAATCCGCCGTTAACTTCTTCCGCTCTTCATTGGACCTATTAAGAGCATTATCGCAGTGGGCCGTGAAAGATTCAATCCTTGTAGCATTGCCATCGTGGTGAAAGAGTCATAACAAAAGCTGACCAAAGCAAGTAATACTCATGTGGAATCAACGCTTTTTAACTACAGAATCTGGGTTCAGGTCGTTTTGCATTGTCAGAAAAGGGTGAATTAGAAAGAGAAACAAGAACAAGAACACCATGATGAATTGGATTTAGAGTTGGAGATGTGAAATATGATGGGTAAGAGGCTGCCATCGTTAAAGCAGAAGTTGCCATTTTTGGTTCATAGTTTTTCGAAATTGCAGTCTACAAGAGCTTAACAGATGTGCAAGACCAACCAATGGTGTCGACTGGCGATGGCTGCGACGGCGGTGAAAGACGAAGGATCCCAATAGTCCGTAGAACTGTAGAAGGTTGTCTGAATTTGGATTTCGGCCCTCTTGAATTGTTAGCCCAATTGACAATTGACCCTGTAACATCCATTGGGCCATTACAATGTTGAACTAGCCCAAATCGTGTATCTCACCACCCAACACCAAGTGCCCAAAGACAGACTTTCGAAAAAGTTGAAAAGGTTCTACCAAAAAGAAAAGAAGTCAAAAAGGATTGGGACAGAAGGGGTTAAAGGAGGAGACAGCTGTTGCTTAAAACGCCCCCACATGCTATAAGTTGTGTCCAAACAGTCCCATCATCATCATACCTTGATTTTATGTCTAGAAAATGAAATCTGGTAACAGCTCGAGGTGAAATTCCTGCCCTTCTTTCCATGCCAACGAGTAAAAGGTAGCTTTTAACAAACGCAAAATTCCCCTCAATCACGTAAAGAATCCAATGCCTTGACACATCACCACTGTATTTATGTGCTCTAATTTCCGGTTTCCCCCCAACATTCAAGACCTTGCCTTTGGTGAAGACCTTCATTTGCTGCAAATCCATGGCCAATGTAAGTAATCATTGCTTTGTTTTCAAGATCACTTTACATGGGGATAATGTAAGGTTTCGAACTTTACAACAGGTAGTGGAGCTGAAAGTGAATTTGCACTGCGAGGAATGTATAAGGAAAGTCCTGAAAGCCATCAAGAAGATAGAAGGTAGCGGGAAATTTCCCTGATTTCTTCTACCCTTTATCCTGCTCTCTATGTTGATCTTCAAATTTGTTCAATTTCTTTGCTGGTGCTGTTATGGTAAGCAGATATCGAAACATACAACGTAGATACTCAGCTGAGCAAGGTTACAGTCACCGGAAATGTCACAACAGAGGAAGTCATCAGAGCACTTCAAAAGATCCGAAAGACGGCAAGCCCTTGGGAGGGAGATGAAAACGTGCCCTTAAATTAACTTCAAAAATACTCGCTGCAAACTCCAAGGAACCATTACAAACAGCTACCATTTCGTTGGCCGGACAGGAGATAGATTCACCGAGAACAGAGGATGTATCTATGATTCTTCTGCTTCACTACCTCGTAAAACACCTAGTATTTGTATAATTGTATTTCAAGTTTTTTACCCTTTTTGCACTTCCTTTCAATGTGTGATTAGATTAATCCACCATGATGTTGTATCTCTGCTTCTTCTGCTTCACTACCTTATGGAACACCTAGTATTTGTATAATTGTATTGCAAGTTTTTTTTACCCCTTTTTGCACTTCCTTTTAATATCTGATTAAATCATCCACCATGATGGAAAAATCAACAGATTTTGCATGAAATTTCAAATATTGTGATGTTGGAAAGGTTAATTTTCCTTTTTTTAATTTGTTAATTTATCAGGAATAAAATTACAACACTTCTGCTCTCTTATTCAACCTCTATACAGAAAAGTAAAGATTGCCACTACAAGAAAAAGATGAAACTTAAATTAACAGCAAATGAGTCAAGGACTCGGATTTGGCGTCACAGAGTCTGAGTCTACCTGGGCTGGTGAATCGTCCTTGGACTCAGTTTGACATTCACAATCTTCGGCGCTTTCTCTGCATACCTCGGCGATCCCACCTTGGATCGACCCCTACTACACTTCATCGCACCGATGGGTACCAATTCCTTGTTAAAATCAGTCTCTTTTTCTTCTTCTGTGCCAAAAAGGAGAAAACTTTAACCAGGCGTTACGAGTTTAGTGAATCAGGAAGCTGACTCAGTAACTTACCTTCGAGTCCGACAAAGAAGTCGTCCCCGTCCAGGTCGTCGAGGAGGACGTGGTCGTCGTAGTCGACGTCAACAGGATCGGAGAAGCATTCTCGGAGCCAGTAGTCGCGGAAACAGGGGGAGGAGTGTACCAGGGCCCACCATTGCTCCGAGAAATCCTCCACCGTGCGATACGCCAAAGGCACGAATATCGGAGCGTTGGGATTCAACGCCGAGGATCTCTGAGAAATCACTTCCATCGTCGGAGTCTGTCTGAAAACGAAGCAAGTTGGACGGAGAAGTGGATAAGGATTCATGAGGATGGATCGGTATTTATATAAATAACCTTTGAAATAATAACCTTCGATTAGCGTATTATTACGGTAATGCCACTGCAAAAGCTCCGCGTAGCTGAATAAGCGGAGTAGTTGAGCCGAGCTGAGAGAAATAAGGAGAACTTTTTCACTGTTACGTGTCGATGATTGTCGTTTCCGTTGATGCTGCATAAAAAGTTGTGTGCCGCGTCGTTGTTCTAATCTTTTATCCGTTAGGAACATTTTTAAAAAAATTTAAAACATGGCACTTCTACGGGAATGGGAACCATGGAGTTTAAAGATGCAATTAAACGAGAGGTGGTTTTTATTAAATTGAGATTTTAGTCACCAGATCGGGGGTTTGGGGGATCCGTTAGAAATATTTCATTTTTTTTTTTTAACATATTTTGCAAGTGCAGGTTTTGAACCTGTCGAAGAGAAGGAATGCACCGTGACTATGCCACTAAGCGTGAAGAACCAGTGCGTTAGAAATATTTCATTTTTCCCTAGGAAATGGAAGGTTTCAATGCACCTAAGATTTGACCATTAAAAAAAATGCTTCTAAGATTACATTTACAAGGTTTTAATTAAGAATTCGGATAAAATTTGAGGGTTTAAAATAGAAAAAATGTTTAGAGAGAATCTTTATATAAAATTTTTTCATATTCTTTACATTTATTTGTGTAAATTAATTAAAAAGAGTCACGCGTCTGATTGTTTACACTAATTTTTGTAAATTTTTTCATATTGTTTACATCTATTTTTTGAAATTAATTATAAAAAGCCACATGTCTAATTGATTTTAAATTTGAAGGAATTAAGAGGTAGTAGCTGCAATCTTATTTTCAAATTTACTTGAAAGGTTGTTCCCACATAGTTAGCAGATTAGTTGGTTTATTGCAAATCTTCAATATGTTACTACTGATATTCGAGATTTTGTTGCAACTTTACACTTTATTATCGTTGGTTTGGGAGTTGTTGCAAATTTCATACTATCATTGGTTTTCAAGATGTTGCAATCAAAACTTCACCACACTGTTAAGTTGCTATAAATATGTGACAATAAAATCAAGCAAGTAAGATTGAGCTTTCACACAACATTCCCAGTGTTATCTGCATTTTAATTTTCACAAGTAATGTTTTAGTTTATATCTAGTTTTCTTAAACAATTTTCTTAGTTTAGTCCTCAGCACTATGTTGCCACTAGTTTTAACTCTAGTTTTTGTTATTTTGTTTTGAACATCTCCACTGATATATTTGATTTCCTGCAATTCAATTTACTACAGTTTGCCCTAAAATCATCTTTCTAGCTTCTTTTAAGTTTAATTTTATACTTCAGCTTTTATTTCATTTTTTACACTTTCGTACTTTCACAACAACATCATACTTCCTCTTTGTAATTTAATTTTTTTGCCATGCATTCTCTTTCTTCCCTTTTCCTTTATTTTCCTCTTTTATTTTGATAAGCAAACTAACATTTTGACCTTAGTTGTTGAAAGTCCATGATGTTCTTCCAAAGCAATTTTTTATGGATCTTTATGTAGAAATGCACCTCTATTTTTATGACAATTATCTGATCATGGTGCATCTCATATTTTATTTAATTGATGCTCTTCCATTGACTCGTAACCGAGTTTCACACTTGGAAGTAATGAGAATCATCAAGAATATTTTTTTTTCATTTTGAGCAAAATAAGTGGTACGCATTCGTAGTGCTATTTGCCACATGGTCGGAAAATGGAGATTTTGGAGGCAACACATATTATTAACTATTTTTACTTTATCCGAACTTATAAATATTATATTATTTATTAATTAAATAATATGTTAAAATTTTATAAAAAAAAATTGTTTACAAATTACCTTTTAAAATATTAAAAATGTTGTAGTTATAATGATAAGAAAGATTGTAAATTTATAATAATGATTGATATTAAATAAATAAAGGTATGTATAACTTTGAATAAAAAGAATAAATTATATAATAATACATTTTAATTGTATGTATAGAATCTCAAATAACGTTTTAATATCAATTCCATTAAAATATAATAAGGGTGTTTAAATAAGGTGTTTAACTATAGTTAATGGCTAGTAAGTAATATTTGATAACTAATAATTATTATTATTTATAATTTAAAATACATAATTTATTCAATTAGAATTATAAGTTTATAAGAGTGTTTAAATTAATTATTTAGATATAATCAATAATTAATAATAATAATTATTTATATTTAAAAATATTTAATTAATTTAATTAAATTCAACGACTAATACTTTTTAGTGAACAACAAACGAACACCTTATAGCTGTTTGCAAAATGTTACAACAGACAACCTTCTAG